ATTCTGAGATTACAATGCCTGCCAGGATTGCAGTCACTGAGGAATGTGTTCATTTGTTCATACAACACCTGCCAGGATTGCAGGCACTTAGGAATGTATTCATTCATTCATATAACACCTGCCAGGATTGCAGTCACTGAGGAATGCATTCACATGATGCCACCATTTAGAAATGCATTACTTAGCAATGGCAATCCCAAACACAAATGCCATAATAACCTGAGGACCACATATTTAAAATTTGGTAATCTGCTTATGCATACACAAATTAAGTTTGAAATAAAAATGTTTTAAAGACTTTTCCATTGTATTAATTGATGTATTGTATCATTATATTTTCCCAAATGTTTTGATCTAAAGTCTTGTGAATAGATTTCTAAAGTAGCATAATGATACAGGTAGTCCTCGAGTTATGACCACAATTCAGACCAGAAATTATATTTCTAAGTAAAATATTTGTACCATTTTATGAATTTTCTTGCCACAGTTGTTAAGTGAATCATTGCATTTGTTAAGTTAGTAACATGGTTGTTAAGTGAATCTGAATTTTCCATTGACTTTGCTTGTCAGAACATCGCAAAAGCTGATCACATGATCTCAGGACACAGTGACAGCCATAAATATGAACCAGTTGCCAACCATTGGAATTTTTAACATGTGTCCAAGGGATGCTGCAGTGGTGGTTAAGTGTGAAAAACGATGTTAAATCACTTTTTTCAGTGCTGTTGTAACTTTGAACGATCACTAAATGAACTGTTGTAAGTCAAGGATTACCTGTATAGTGAATTATTACTATATATCCCTTTGTTTTCCAAAGCTAGAATATAGTTGGAATTGAAGAGGCTTTCTTTATAAGTTTAACATTGTTCCATGTTGAGAAGCTGATCATTAGTTATATATTCTTAAAACAAAACAAAGCAAGTCCAAAATTTATGTTTATAACAGGAACATAGGGGCAGATCTGGTTTAACAACTTTTTCCTTCATCTGTCAGCAGGAAATTTAATGGAGAAGAGGAAACCCTCGTTGCTATTATGTACAGTATAATGTCATAGCTAAGCTATCGTTTTAAAAAATATTTGAAAAATAGTATAGAAAATGCAAAAAAATGGCCAAATCTAGTAATTGCAAACTTGTTTTGCATAATTCCACAGATTCAATTCCTGACATCTCTGGGTAAAGAATATAATTTAAAGGAAGACTGTCCTTGAAAATATGTAAAGATGCAGGCTCTTTGAGTTAAGCTCAACTTCTTGTGACAATGAACAAATCTCTGCATTAAGAACAGTACAAAAATAATTACTGGCTTTCTTCAGATATAAATTGTGTCTCTCCAATTCGATACCTGGTCCAAATATTCTCTGGTAGACACCTGTCTAATGCAGTAAAATTATTATTTATTATCTAATATAGCTCTTATGCCAAACAGGATTTGTTGAGTGCTCCCAGTTGCTGAAGCATTCAGAACATGTACAGTTTTAATAGCAGGCAATTTTAAGTCTTAAATAAATAAATTGAAGTAAAATACTCTTAATGCATGTATGTGTTCAGTATTTATGAAAAGAATTTACATGGCCAGATCTGATTTTCAGGGTATGAAATTATTTGAGTAGGCCTCATACGATACGACTGAATATTTCAATGAATATCAATAAAAATAACAGGATATTTTTACAATAACTCAATTTCATTCCCCATATGTATTAAATTTTTATACCCTCTGACAATAGATATTCAGCATTTGGGCATCCAGTCTTCATTCATCTTTGTTTGGATTTACCACCCCCTAGGAATCTCTTGTTACGTTACAAGAAATATTCAAGCCTCTTAATTTGTTTTTTGTATGGATTTAGATACATAATAGAGGAGATATACTATATTAAGCTATTCAGTATAGGTTAACTTAGCTCCTTCGTAAGAGAGTTTATATTAGTTAAAAACAAAATCCTGAAAATGTGAACATAAACTGGGAAAATGGTACTTCCTTTATTCTTGGAGATTATATTTTATAAACCTATTATATAAATTACCCAAGCCTCTTTATAATTTAAGGAAACCTCAACGAAGTGTGCAAGGTGGATCAGAATTACATATATTAAAGTTGCTCTTTAATCACTGACATATTTTGAACTTTTGTTTTTATTTTTCCAATCCAATTGAAGTTTGAAAATAAATTATGCAAAGGTCCCTGCGCCTTTACCTGTCTGTTACCAGGATAACACTCTGAAAACTGAACATGATGGGAACAAATTTTCTGTCTGGGGAGAAGCTATTAAAAAAGGATTTTGAAAATGGCCCAGGTCAGGCTGATTACTATGGGAGAAATTTCAGAAAAATAAATCCCCAGTTCTTCCCTAAGAGAGAGACAATTTATCAGTGCTTCAGAATGTTATTGACTATTGCCTTCTAGGGCTTGCTCCATCTTGGCCTACCCAATGCTGCTCAGGATACATAAGCACAAACACAAAAAGGTGCAAATGAGATTCGCTGCCCCGTTGCTGCATGGGCGTGGCCATGGTGGGCGTGGCCTAGTCAGCCTGCACCATTGGGGGGGGCTTTTTGCCCTCCTTGGGCTCTAAAGGCTTTCCCCAAGCCTTCAGGAGGGCAAAAACTGCTTCTGGCCCTCCGGAGACCGGAAACAGGCCCATATCCAGAACTTCCGGTAAGCCTGTTTTCTCCCCTCCCTGAGCCTCCGTGCAGGCCCTGCATTTACCTGACATGATGAATGAGCTATGTGGAGAGTCCTGGGAGGGGTGGGGTGGGAAGGGCATGGCCAGCCAGGGGTGGCATTTGGAGGTTTGATGAACTGGGCAGAATCCTAGGTAGAGGATCGCACAAACCCGTGTGAATCCCTAGCAGCCCACCCTTGGATATTTCTTATGAATGCTGTTGGTAAAAGGGTTAGAAAGAATTCTAAAAGCTTTGCTCTCCTTTTTTCTACCTTCTGTTTTTGCTTCCAATAAAGAAAAATACCCTGTTTAACCATCTGCTGAAACATTAGTTTTCAATATGTACCATAGCTACTCAGACTCAGATGCAGTTGAGGTGATTGTAGAAATTTTAAATCTTTAAACTCTAGTGTGAATGATTAATATAATAGCAGTATTGTATGTCTTACAAAAAATCGTACTCTATAATGGCTGGGGCCCAGGTTCTTCAATTGAGTAATGGTGAGGCTTACGGCATAAAAGTTTAAGAATTACTTTGCTGAACTACTACTCGCAACATAATATTATGGAGATTTCCTCCAGCTTGGTTTTTGTCTAGAGAATGAGGAAGAATGGTAACAGCAAAAGGTCCCCTAAATTAGTGTTTTTCAACCACTGTGCCGTGGCACACTAGTGTGCC